GATTTTCAGAAACATATATAGGCATTTTGAAAAGCATAAAATTTCAATAAAGAAGTTGCTCATTAACAGCTATTTTAATGGTGATCATGAAAAAAGATGCTAAGGATTTTATGTCCTAATGTGCTAGGCTATGACTTTTCTATGTTTAATTATGCTTTATTTATATTTTATTAACTTGAGATTTCAAGTTGACATGATACATATACTTTGTTGATATTTAAAATGGTACAAAAGGGCAAGAATATGGCTTAGTAGGAAAGTTTTTCTCCTGTTTTCTAGCCCCAGCATTATGAAAATAATACAATATAATGTAAAATATAAAATACAGGTATCATTTGAAACAACTGATTTTCAGGAATTGAATAGTAAAGTTATACAAGTGATAACTGTGGTTTGCCCCGGCCATGCAGGCCCTGTGCAGACACCTCACCTCCCTACCTCTTAGTCAGTTTCTGCCCAATATCTGTGTTACCTAGGTAACTGACATATCTGGAAGCAGGTTCACATCCTGGGCCGTCTCTGGTCATGCCTCCCATCTGACCATAGGAGGGTCCCAGGCCCTGAGATTACATCAGATCCAGTGTGGCCACACTTTTCCCCCACCTGGCCACACCTCTTCTTGATAAGTGTGTGGGGGGGGGGGTGGTAAGGAAGTAGGGTTAGGATTACAGGTAGGTTCCGGTCATGTCTCTCCATCGTGTAAGGCAGCAGTTTGGTAAATAAACTTTTTTTCCTGCCTGAATACCACGTGGTGTTCTCTTCATTGGCTACCTAATGAAACCTACCTATTTAACATACCTTACAGTAACTATACAGCATTAACTTCTAAACCTTGCAATTCTTAACCCTAATACAAAACAGCATCAAAACGCCTCACTTAGAAAATATCAATCTTCTAGATACTCAGGAGGCTCAGATCTGAGGATCACAGTTCAAAGCCATCCCAGGCACTAAAGTCTCTGAGACTCTTATCTCCAATGAACCATCATAAAGCCAGAAGTGGAGCTGTGGTTCAAGTGGCAGAATGATAGTCTTGAACAGAAAAAGCTAAGAGACATTGCCCAGGCCATAAGTTCAAGCCCCAGTATACACACACACACATCAACCTAACAGTCTTACATAAAATATTAAACAAAATCCAACAGCTTAAAAAATAATATAATAAAGAACTCATTCTAAGATTGCAAAAATGGTTCCTTATCAAGAATTTTTTTTTATTCAGTCGTTGGGGCTGAACTCTGGGCCTGGGCCCTGTCCCTCAGCTCTTCAGCTCAAGGCTAGCACCCTACCACTTGAGCCATAGTGCCACTTCTGGCTTTTTTCTGCTTATGTGGTGCTGAGGAATCGAACTCAGGGCCTCATACATGCAAGGCAAGCACTCTACCACTGAGCCAACTTCTAGCCCCCTTATCAAGAATTTTTTGCCTATATAATTCCATATTCAACAGAAAAATATGATCTCTGTGGATGCTAAAAATACCTTCAGAAAATTCAACATAGTTGCCAAATAAAAACATTTAACAAAATCAGAATTACTGGGTACTATAACATGATTTTACACACAGTTTTAGACATCCCTTCACCAGACATGTCTCAAACCAGAATCTTACTTACAAACAAGGCATGGGTACCCACTGACTACAGTGTTACCCAACAGTGTGTCAGTCAATGCAATCAGACAAATACATAATAATGAGAGGCCTAAGTCTTGGGAAAAAAGAGAACTAGATTTGTGAGAATGGGGGGGGTAGAAATTTTGATAATGTACTTGTAAAAAGAGAGAATAAACACTAAAACTAATACAAAATTTGAGGATTCAGAAAAATAGAAGATATATAATTTGGGGGTGGGGGAATCTCTGTAGACCAGGAAGCTTAATGCCATAAATTTACAGTCTCAAATTTCATCTCTTTTTTTGTTCTCTCTAGGGGACATTTCACACTCAAACCCTGACACCCAAAGTCCTACAGCTATCTTACAATGCTAAATCCATTTACTCCATCTCCAGGAGTCCACAAAGTCTTAACAGTCCGAGCATTATTCAAAAGCCCAAGTTTAAAATTTCCTCTGAGAACCAAAGCAAATTCTTAGCCATGAGTCCCTGGTAAAAATTAAAACAAAGTTACATACTTACAAAATATAAGGACACTGAATAAACATCCCAATTCCAAAATGTAAGAATAGGAGCATAGAAAGGAAGATGGATGCAAAGCAAGACTGAAACCCTGCAGAACATTAGAACCTGTAACCAGTGCCAAGTCCAGTATCAAGGCACTCCTGAGGAGGTCAGCAGCCCTACTTCTCAGGTATCACTGTGGGAATGTAAAATGGTGCAGTCATTGTGGAAGACAGTTTGGCAGTTTCTTTTTTTGTTTTTTTTTTAGTTCAATTGGTAATTTATTTTGTTTTGTTTTGTTTGTTCCAACAATCCAAGGAATATTTTTATGGGTTCTCAGAAAGTTACTATTTTTCAGCACGTATATGATAAAAAAAATCTTTGAAGACAAGAACTATGTGTAATCTAAAAATTACAACTTTTGATGATGGAGGGGTTATTTTTATGCTACTTGACCATTCAGACAGCAATAGTTTCACAATACACATATTTTTATATTAACAAAAGACTGGATGATCTGGTGTATTCAAAATGTAATATTTTGTGCTCAATCGGCAATTTCTTTTTTTTTTAAGAATTTTTTTTT